CGACTACGACGAGACGTTCGCGCCGGTGGGCAGCTACGTCATGCTGAGGATCTTCCTCAGCATCGTCGCCGTCCTCAACCTGAACCTGATGCAGCTCGACATGAAGAATGCCTTCTTGCAGAGCAAGCTCGACCGGGTGCTGTACATGTCGCAGCCGGACTACTTCAACGACGGAACCGGCCGGGTGTGGCAATGCGCTGAAGAGCCTGTACGGGCTGAAGCAGTCGCCGCTGCTGTATTGTTACTTGCGCTCAACGACGTGCTGGTCGACGCTGGGTGGAAGAAGAGCCAGGTCGACGAGGCCCTTTACTTCAAGGTCGGCGCCGGGTGACGAGCGACTTGCTGGGTGCTGGTCTACGTCGACGACTTATTGCCGCCAGCAGTACGCCCCGCGATGATGAAGGAGCTGAAGGAGCTGCTGGAGGCCGCCTTTGAGCTGCGCGAGATCTCGCCGGTGCAGAAGTACCTCGGGCTGGAGATCGTGCGCGACAGGTCGGCGGGGAAGCTGTGGCTTTGCAACAGCCGGCTACGCGACAAGCTGCGTAGGCGCTCATCGACGAGGAGCAGGGCGGACGGACTCCGAAGACGCCGGTCTCGGTCGACGCCTACGCCGAGCTCACCTTCGACGACGAGGAGGAAAGGAGACACAGGAGGAGGATACCGGGCAGAAGGTCGGCTCGCTGCAGTCGCGGGCGACGACGAGGCCGGACATCGCCTTCGCCTGCAGCAAGCTGGGGAGCGGCCTTACGGTGAGGAGCGACCAGCACTGGCGCGAGGTCGACCGCTGCCTCGCCTACCTCGCCAACACGCGTGACACCGCCCTGGAGTTTGGCGGTGGACCTGAGTCGCTGGAGCTGGTCGGCTACGTGGACGCCGACGACGCCAGCGACAAGCAGAGCAGGACGAGCACGGGCGGCTACGTGTTCGTCTACGGAGGGGCCGCGGTCTCCTGGTCGAGCCAGCGCATCAAGTGCGCGACACTGTCATCGACCGAGTCGGAGTACGTGGCGGCCGTCGAAGCCGGCAAGGAGGGACGCCGACTTCGCTTCCTCCTCGCAGAGTTCCAGCAGTTGGATGCTGGGAAGCCGACCGTCCTTCGGGTGGACAACAAGTCGGCCATCACGGTCGCCGGGGGCATGGGGTTGACAGGCAACCTCAAGCACATGGAGCGGCGACAGGCCTGGCTGCAGCACATGGTGAAGCGGGGAAGTTTGCGTGCAGTACATCCCGACCGCTGAGCAGCCAGCCGACTTCCTCACGAAGGCGCTGCACTATCCGGCTTTCAACCGGTGCTCCGTCGCCATCGGCCAGGTGCGCTTGGCCGACGTGGGCGACGGAGTTGACGAAGTGCCGCAGTGGTCATGCCCTTTTGCATGGCTGGTGCGGTGGACGACGTGCTGTGTGTTGGGTGCACGTCGACGAGCTGTTCTCCGAGCAGTGCTGCCGTAGGGGCTGGAGGCCCAAGCGTGAACGCGGCAGGGGAGTGTCAACGGGAGTTGGGTGTTGGCCCCGTCCTCGCTTGGGCGGAGCCGACTTCGTGGTCGGATGTAGGGGTGCAGCCGACCTGCAGCAGTGGGCGGGCTGGTCGACGAGGTTGGTCGACCTGCACGGGAGCCATTGCATGGGCGCCGACTTCGGGAGGGCGCCAACTTCGGCTGGTCGACCTGGGACGTCGACCAGCCCTTCTGGTCGACTTGGGAAGTCGACCAGACCTTCTGTCGAACTGGTAAGTCGACCAGCCGTTCTGGCGACAGGAGTGACGTCGACTTGGAGCTGGTCGACCAGGGGATAGTGGTCGACCTGGGGAGGTCGACTGGAGGTGGCCGTCGACTTGGGAGGTCGACCGACACGTACCAGAGGGAGTGGTCGACCTGGGAGGTCGACCGGAAGTGGTCGTCGACCTGGGTGGTCGACGGGCACGCACTGGAGCCTCTGGTCGACCTGGTTGCCCGGTCGACCAGGTTACCTAGGTGACGAGGTGCTGCGAAGGCTTGCGATGGTCGCCCAGGTGGTTTTGGCGAGGACGACCTCGGTGATGGTATCCCGAGGTCGACGTGGTGCATCAGAAGCAGTCGTCAGCACGAAGTTGATGTGGTGTGTGCGTTGTGCAGTGACGAGGCACTGCACGCCAATCGTCTGCGAGCACCTGCGAAGTAGGTGCGCTGCTGTCCTGCGGGAGCAACGTTGGCGCGCCGTCAACCTGCGACGTTGGCACGCCGTCGACCTGCAGTGTTGGCAAGCCACGACTCTGCGCTGCTGGAGCGCGGTCGACCAAGTTGTGCTGGCGCGCGGTCGACTGTGCTGCGCTGGCAGTCGACCTGCTTGCATGCTAGCTCTGATGTAGTTTTGCCTTGCCAACTTCTTTGTATCATTGTTGTCAACTTTCTCTAGTGAAACTCTTGCCAAATTGCCTTGTGAACTAGCAAGTAGTGTGCGCACTAGGAAAACGACTAAGGACCAACGAACGCAGTGATCACACGAGCATCCGTGCCTAGCCCGTAGTCTAGCTCCCGTTACTAGAGTTATCTCCGCACCCCGCCCCATTCTCCCTCATTCCATCACCCCGCCCCATTCTCCCTCTTTCCATCACCCCGCCCCATTCTCCCTCTTTCCATCACCCGCCCCATTCTCCCGCTTTCCATCACCCTGCCCCATTCTCCCGCTTTCCATCACCCCGCCCCATTCTCCTTCTTTCCATCACCCCGCCCCATTCTCCCTCTTTCCATCACCCCGCCCCATTCTCCCGCTTTCCATCACCCCGCCCCATTTTCCCGCTTTCCATCACCCCGCCCCATTCTCCCGCTTTCCATCACCCCGCCCCATTCTCCCTCTTTCCATCACCCTGCCCCATTCTCCCTCTTTCCATCACCCCGCCCCATTCTCCCGCTTTCCATCACCCCGCCCCATTCTCCTGCTTTCCATCACCCCGCCCCATTCTCCCGCTCTCCATCACCCCGCCCCATTCTCCCGCTTTCCATCACCCCGCCCCATTCTCCCGCTTTCCATCACCCCGCCCCATTCTCCCTCCATCCACCACCCCGCCCCATTCTCCCTCTTCCATCACCCGCCCGTTCTCCCGCTTTCCATCACCCCGCCCCATTCTCCCGCTTTCCATCACCCGCCCCATTCTCCCGCTTTCCATCACCCCGCCCCATTCTCCCTCTTTCCATCACCCCGCCCCATTCTCCCGCTTTCCATCACCCCGCCCCATTCTCCCGCTTTCCATGACCCCGCCCCATTCTCCCGCTTTCCATGACCCCGCCCCATTCTCCCTCTTTCCATCACCCCGCCCCATTCTCCCGCTTTCCATCACCCCGCCCAATTCTCCCGCTTTCCATCACCCCGCCCCTTTCTCCCGATTCTCCGCTTTCCATCACCCCGCCCATTCTTCCGCTTTCTATCACCCCGCCCTCTCCTCTATCCATAACCCTGCCCCATTCTCCCTCTTTCCATCACCCCGCCCCATTCTCCCGCTTTCCATCACCCCGCCCCATTCTCCGCTTTCCATCACCCCGCCCCATTCTCCCGCTTTCCATCACCCTGCCCCATTCTCCCGCTTTCCATCACCCCGCCCCATTCTCCCGCTTTCCATCACCCGCCCCATTCTCCCGCTTTCCATCACCCCGACCCATTCTCCCGCTTTCCATCACCCGGCCCCATTCTCCCTCTTTCCATCACCCCGCCCCATTCTCCCGCTTTCCATCACCCCGACCCATTCTCCCGCTTTCCATCACCCCGCCCCATTCTCCCTCCTTCCATCACCCCGCCCCATTCTCCCTCTTTCCATCACCCCGCCCCATTCTCCCGCATTCCATCACCCCGCCCCATTCTCCCTCTTTCCATCACCCGCCCCATTCTCCCGCTTTTCATCACCCCGCCCCATTCTCCCTCTTTCCATCACCCTGCCCCATTCTTCCGCTTTCCATCACCCCGCCCCATTCTCCCTCTTTCCATCACCCCGCCCCATTCTCCCGCTTTCCATCACCCCGCCCCGTTCTCCCGCTTTCCATCACCCCGCCCCATTCTCCTCGTTCCATCACCCCGCCCCATTCTCCCTCTTTCCATCACCCCGCCCCATTCTCCCTCTTTCCATCACCCCGCCCCATTCTCCCTCTTTCCATCACCTCGCCCCATTCTCCCGCTTTCCACCACCCCGCCCCATTCTCCCTCTTTCCATCACCCCGCCCCATTCTCCCGCTCTCCATCACCCCGCCCCATTCTCCCGCTTTCCATCACCCCTCCCCATTCTCCCGCTTTCTATCACCCCGCCCCATTCTCCCGCTTTCCATCACCCCGCCCGATTCTCCCGCTTTCCATTACCCCGCCCCATTCCCTCTTTCCATCCCCTGCCTCATTCTCCCTCTTTCCATCACCCCGCCCCATTCTCCAGCTCTACATCATCCTGCCCCATTCTCCCTCTTTCCATCACCCCGCCCTATTCTCCCGCTTTCCATCACCCCGCCCCATTCTCCCGCTTTCCATCACCCCACCCCATTCTCCCGCTTTCCATCACCCCGCCCCATTCTCCCGCTTTCCATCATCCCGCCCCATTCTCCCGCTTTCCATCACCCCGACCCATTCTCCCTCTTTCCATCACCCCGCCCCATTCTCCCGCTTTCCATCACCCCGCCCCATTCTCCCGCTTTCCATCACCGCGCCCCATTCTCCCGCTTTCCATCACCCCGCCCCATTCTCCCGCTTTCCATCACCCCGCCCCATTCTTCCGCTTTCCATCACCCCGCCCCATTCTCCCTCTATTATCACCCCGCCCCATTCTCCCTCTATCCATCACCCCGCCCCATTCTCCCGCTTTCCATCACCCCGCCCCATTCTCCCGCTTTCCATCACCCCGCCCCATTCTCCGGCTTTCCATCACCCTGCCCCATTCTCCCGCTTTCCATCACCCGCCCCATTCTCCCGCTTTCCATCACCCTGCCCCATTCTCCCGCTTTCCATCACCCCGACCCATTCTCCCGCATTCCATCACCCCGCCCCATTCTCCCGCTTTCCATCACCCCGCCCCATTCTCCCGCATTCCATCACCCCGCCCCATTCTCCCTCTTTCCATCACCCGCCCCATTCTCCCGCTTTTCATCACCCCGCCCCATTCTCCCGCTTTCCATCACCCTGCCCCATTCTTCCGCTTTCCATCACCCCGCCCCATTCTCTCGCTTTCCATCACCCCGCCCCATTCTCCCTCTTTCCATCACCCCGCCCCATTCTCCCGCTTTCCATCACCCCGCCCCGTTCTCCCGCTTTCCATCACCCCGCCCCATTCTCCCTCTTTCCATCACCCTGCCCCATTCTCCCTCTTTCCATCACCCCGCCCCATTCTCCCTCTTTCCATCACCCCGCCCCATTCTCCCTCTTTCCATCACCTCGCCCCATTCTCCCGCTTTCCATCACCCGCCCCATTCTCCCTCTTTCCATCACCCCGCCCCATTCTCCCGCTTTCCATCACCCCGCCCCATTCTCCCGCTTTCCATCACCCCGCCCGTTCTCCCGCTTTCCATCACCCCGCCCCATTCTCCCTCCTTCCATCACCCCGCCCCATTCTCCCTCTTTCCATCACCCGCCCCCATTCTCCCTCTTTCCATCACCCCGCCCCATTATCCCTTTCCATCACCCCACCCCAATTCTCCCGCTTTCCATCACCCCGCCCCATTCTCCCTCTTTCCATCACCCCGCCCCATTCTCCCTCTTTCCATCACCCCGCCCCATTCTCCCGCTTTCGTTCACCCCGCCCCATTCTCCCGCTTTCCATCACCGCGCCCCATTCTCCCGCTTTCCATCACCCCGCCCCATTCTCCCGCTTTCCATCACCCCACCCCATTCTCCCTCTTTCCATCACCCCGCCCCATTCTCCCTCTTATTATCACCCCGCCCCATTCTCCCGATTTCCATCACCCCGCTCCATTATCCCGCTTTCCATCACCCCGCCCTATTCTCCCGCTTTCCATCACCCCGCCCCATTCTCCCGCTTTCCATCACCCCGTCCCATTCTCCCTCTTTCCATCACCCCGCCCCATTCTCCCTCTTTCCATCACCCTGCCCCATTCTCCCTTCAGCTCTACATCACCCTGCCCCATTCTCCCTCTTTCCATCACCCCGCCCCATTCTCCCGCTTTCCATCACCCGCCCCATTCTCCCGCTTTCCATCACCTCGCCCCATTCTCCCGCTTTCCATCACCCCGCCCCATTCTCCCGCTTTCTATCACCCCGCCCCATTCTCCCTCTATCCATCACCCCGCCCCATTCTCCCTCTTTCCATCACCCCGGCCCATTCTCCCGCTTTCCATCACCCCGCCCGATTCTCCCGCTTTCCATCACCCCGCCCAATTCTCCCGCTTTCCATCACCCCGCCCCATTCTCCCTCTTTCCATCACCCCGCCTCATTCTCCCGCTTTCCATTTCCCCGCCCCATTCTCCCGCTTTCCATGACCCCGCCCCATTCTCCCGCTTTCCATGACCCCGCCCCATTCTCCCTCTTTCCATCACCCCGCCCCCTTCTCCCGCTTTCCATCACCCTGCCCCATTCTCCCGCTTTCCATCACCCCGCCCCATTCTCCCGCTTTCCATCACCCCGCCCCATTCTTCCGCTTTCCATCACCCCGCCCCATTCTCCCTCTATCCATCACCCCGCCCCATTCTCCCTCTTTCCATCACCCCGCCCCATTCTCTCGCTTTCCATCACCCCGCCCCATTCTCCCGCTTTCCATCACCCCGTCCCATTCTCCCGCTTTCCATCACCCGCCCCATTCTCCCGCTTTCCATGACCCCGCCCCATTCTCCCGCTTTCCATCACCCCGCCCCATTCTCCCGCTTTCCATCACCACGCCCCATTCTCCTGCTTTCCATGAACCCGCCCCATTCTCCCGCTTTCCATCGCCCCGCCCCATTGTCCCTCTATTATCACCCCGCCCCATTCTCCCGCTTTCCATCACCCCGCTCCATTCTCCCGCTTTCCATCACCCGCCCCATTCTCCCGCTTTCCATCACCCCGCCCCATTCTCCCGCTTTCCATCACCCCGCCCCATTCTCCCACTTTCCATCACCCCGCCCCATTCTCCCTCTTTCCATCACCCGCCCCATTCTCCAGCTTTACATCACCCCGCCCCATTCTCCCTCTTTCCATCACCCCGCCCCATTCTCCCGCTTTCCATCACCCCGCCCCATTCTCCGCTTTCCATCACCCCGCCCAATTCTCCCGCTTTCCATCACCCCGCCCCATTCTTCCGCTTTCCATGACCCCGCCCCATTCTCCCGCTTTCCATGACCCCGCCCCATTCTCCCGCTTTCCATCACCCCGCCCCTTTCTCCCGCTTTCCATCACCCCGCCCCATTCTCCCGCTCTCCATCACCCCGCCCCATTCTCCCGCTTTCCATCACCCCGCCCCATTCTCCCGCTTTCCATCACCCCGCCCCATTTTCCCTCTATCCATCACCCCGCCCCATTCTCCCTCTTTCCATCACCCCGGCCCATTCTCCCGCTTTCCATCACCCCGCCCCATTCTCCCGCTTTCCATCACCCCGCCCCATTCTCCCGCTTTCCATCACCCCGCCCCATTCTTCCTGCTTTCCATCACCCCGCCCCATTCTCCCTCTTTCCATCACCCCGCCCCATTCTCCCGCTTTCCATCACCCCGCCCCATTCTCCCGCTTTCCATCACCCCGCCCCATTCTCCCGCTTTCCATCACCCCGACCCATTCTCCCGCTTTCCATCACCCCGCCCCATTCTTCCGCTTTCCATCACCCCGCCCCATTCTCCCGCTTTCCATCACCCCGCCCCATTCTCCCGCTTTCCATCACCCCGCCCCATTCTCCCGCTTTCCATCACCCTGCCCCATTCTCCCGCTTTCCATCACCCCACCCCATTCTCCCTCTTTCCATCACCCCGCCCCATTCTCCCCTTTATCCAACACCTCGCCCCATTCTCCCGCTTTCCATCACCCCGCCCCATTCTCCCGCTTTCCATCACCCCGCCCCATTCTCCCTCTTTCCATCACCCCGCCCCATTCTCCCTCTTTCCATCACCCCGCCCCATTCTCCAGCTTTCCATCACCCCGCCCCATTCTCCCTCTTTCCATCACCCCGCCCCATTCTCCCGCTTTCCATCACCCCGCCCCATTCTCCGCTTTCCATCACCCCGCCCCATTCTCCCGCTTTCCATCACCCCGCCCAATTCTCCCGCTTTCCATCACCCCGCCCCATTCTTCTCTTTCCATCACCCCGCCCCATTCTCCCGCTTTCCATCACCCCGCCCCATTCTCCCGCTTTCCATCACCCGCCCCATTTTCCCGCTTTCCATCACCCCGCCCCATTCTTCCGCTTTCCATCACCCCGCCCCATTCTCCCGCTTTCCATCACCCCGCCCCATTCTCCGCTTTCCATCACCCCGCCCAATTCTCCCGCTTTCCATCACCCCGCCCCATTCTTCCTCTTTCCATCACCCCGCCCCATTCTCCCTCTTTCCATCACCCTGCCCCATTCTCCCTCTTTCCATCACCCCGCCCCATTCTCCCTCTTTCCATCACCCCGCCCCATTCTCCCGCTTTCCATCACCCCGCCCCATTCTCCCGCTTTCCATCAACCCGCCCCATTCTCCCGCTTTCCATCACCCCGCCCCATTCTCCCGCTTTCCATCAACCCGCCCCATTCTCCCGCTTTCCATCACCCCGCCCCATTCTCCCGCTTTCCATCACCCCGCCCCATTCTCATGACACCGTGCCCACACTAGTGCAATGCCATGCCACACATCTTGGCACACTTCCAATGCGCACTCTCCGGAAGTCTCTTGGTGAGAAAATCTGCCACCTGCTTGCTAGCCTTCACATGGTGAAGCTCAACAACTCCCTCCTTCACCATCTGCTTCACCCTGTGCCACTTAATCTTCATGTGCTTGTTCAGCCCATTCAGGATAGGATTTTTGGCCATGCCAATAGCAGCCTCGCTGTTGGAGAAAAGTGGTGTAGGTCCCTGCTGTTCAGCTCCCATGTCCTCCAGCAGCTTTCTCAGGAGCACAATCTCCTGGATGGCATGGTACATCGCCATGTACTCTGCCTCTCCGGAAGACTGAGCAATCTCACTCTGCTTCTTGGATCTCTAGCTCACTGGTCCACCTCCGACCATGCACACAAAGCCGCCAACTGATCCTCCTCCTCTGAGGCCCATGTGGCGTCGGTGAAGCACGACAGCTTCAAGGTTCCAGGCGTGACCCCATCTGCTCCGTTCTGTCTCAGCTGCCCGCCAGCTGAAAACTGAACATCAGCAGATGCCGTTGATCCGAGGTAGCGCACCAAGCGCTTTGCCACCTCCAACTGCTCCTCAGTGGGACGCTGCACAACTCTGGCTAGCTGCCCCACTCCAAATGAAGCATCAGGTCGCGTATGCACAGCAGCATACATCACACTTCCAATGAGTGACTGGTACTCATTCTACTGCTTATCCTCGAGTACATCATCCTCCTCAGCTGCCTTCTTCAACTTGAAGCCCGCAGGAAACGGCGTCATCACAGTGCGACCTCCAGTCACACCATAGCGCTCCATGACACCAGAGATGTAGTGTGACTGATGCACCTTCAGCCACCTCCTCTCAACATCCCTCTCAATCTGCAGCCCCAAGTAGTAGTGGACATCCCCCAGCATCTTGCACTTGAAGTTGTCCATCAGCAGCTTCTGTGTCCTCTCAATCTGCTCCATGGAGGGTGAGAACAGCAGTATGTCGTCGACATACACCAGCAGCAAGAGCAGCTGCTCCCCCTCTCCAAGCAGAAACAAGCTGTGATCTGCCTGGGACGTCTTGAAGCCTCCACTCAGCAGCACCTCCTCCAGCTTCTCGTACCAGCACCTGGGCGCTTGCTTAAGGCCATAGATAGCCTTCTTGAGCTTGCACACCCGGCTGGTCCCATCCTCATAGCCGTCGGGCTGCGCCATGTAGATATCCTCCAGCAGTATTCCATTGAGGAATGCAGTGGTGATATCCATCTGCTTCACGTGCCATCCCTTCACAGCTGCGCCAGCCAGCAAAGTCCTCAACGTCAGTGGCTTAGCAATGGGAGTGAAGATCTCCCCAAAGTCGACCTTCTCCTTCTGCTGAAACCCCTTTGTGATCAAGCGGCTCTTGAACCGCTCCAAAGCACCATCAGCTCCACTCTTCACCTTGAAAACCCACTTGCTGCTGATCGGCCGTCGCCCCTCGGGTAACTCAACAAGCTCCCAAGTCCCATTCTCAATGAGACTGTTGAACTCCGCATCCATGGCAGCCTTCCACTCCTCCTTCTGGGGTCCACTCAGTGCCTCCTCCACTGTGGCTGGTTCTCCAGGCAAGGGTGTGAAGAAACAGAAGGCCATCTCCTCATCCTCTCCCTCATCCGCCTGAACCGCCATAGCACCTTGCTTGGGTCCTCCCAAACGGCTATACTTCAGCCTCGAAGGTTGTGCTGCCACTCCCTTCTCGCGGGTTCCAGTCTGCTGCCCATGTGGTGAAGCTCCTTTCTGCACACTCCTCTTGGTGACTTTGGCAGTTGCAGCTGGCTCGGGCTGAGATGGTGAGTCCACACGTGCCGACTCATCCTCCAACCCCTCCTCCACAGCAGGACCAGCCCCTTGCTGCTCACCACCGCCACTATGGTCACTGGTCAGCTCTGACCCAGGGAGATCCTCAAGGTGCAGCTGAACCTCCTCCACTGCAGACCGCTCAATCTCCTGCAGATGCAAGCAAATCTGCACCTGCTACTGCTGCTGCCAGTCCTTGTACATGACGTCCTCAACAAACTTGACGTCATGGCTGACCAGCGTCTTTTTGCTCTTGGAGTTCCACATCAGCCACCCCTTCGAGTCAGGAGCCATCCCAAGATGGACAGCCCACACAGCAGCAACTTCCAGCTTGTGCCTCTGCTCCTTAGGCACCATCACAAGCCCCATGCAGCCCCACACCTGCAGCATGTCAATGGATGGCTTCTTCCCAAGCCAACGCTCGTACGGCACCCAGTGCTTGTCGGCAACGTGTGTCAAGACCCTGTTCTTGACCGTGATGACATGGCGAACAGCTTCTGGCCAGAACTTGTAGGGCATCCCAGCAGCCCCCAACAGAGTCTTAGCCGCCTCGCCAATGGTCCGGTTGGCACGCTCAGCAATGCCGTTCTGCTGCGGTGTTCCTGGGCAGGTCAGCTGGTGTCGAATGCCGTTCCTCTTGAGAAACTTGGTGAATTCCGCTCCAAGGAACTCTCCACCACGGTCGCTCCTCAGCACCTTCACCAGCCGCATCGCTTGCCGCTCCACCATCGGCAACCAATCCTCCTTGATCGCCGCTGCAGCATCGCTCTTCTTGGACAAGGGACGTGCCCACGTGATGCGACTCCATCCGTCCACCATGGTGAGGAAGTACAACACTCCCCCAGTCCCCTCCGTCCTCATAGGACCCACCAGGTCCATGTGCACCACCTCCAATGGTGCCTTTGCCGATCCCTCCGCACGTGGAAACGGGAACCGTGCAAACTTGTTTTGCATGCACGCCTCGCAGCTGTCATAGTGAGCGCCATCTCCTTGCAGTTGCAGGCCGTGCACGCACTTCTCCTTGTGCATCTCCTCCAATGTAGATACAGCCACGTGTGCGAGTCGCCGATGCCAAGTCTCCCAATCCGCTTGGCCAGAGGTAGCCGACGCCTTCACCGCCGCACTTCCTCCAATCAGCTCCTCTCCTTGCACACCTTGCTGCTCCTCCTCAGTGACGCTCTCCTCCATAGATGCCGCGGCTGCCGCCTTGCCCGATTTCCGC